TTTGGCTTTTTTTGTGCGTGTGTATTTGTTCTACTGAGCCATTTTCTTTAGCACAATGCACTCAGTGCTTTTGTTTTAACTGTAGCAATATCAAATGCCTCTATAAACGTTTTCTTGCATCTCGTGTAATTATTAGGATTCTTGTATTTGACTTTTTTTCCTCTTTTTATCCCCACTACAGATGAATTTGTGTTGAAAACCTCTGTATCCCCAGGGGTTTGGTTTTGATAAAATCATGCTAGAATAACTTCTGACCTATACTTTGAATTTTCATTCAGAATTGCTATGATACTGATGCTTCATTTGTATATTTCTTCAAATATTGCCATATTTCCTATCCTCTGTTTATTTGATATTTTTTTTTCTAGTTTGGCAGCTATCTGTAGTGTTTTTGTTTCAATCTATTCTTCAGATCTTGAAGAATCTGATTTTGAAGAATTCTGATTTTTCAAACTGTGTAAATATCCTAGATGTTCAAGCACATATTTTACTCTGCTTCTTAATTCATCTGAATGTATTGTCAGATATATGTAGACAATTTCTTTATTTTGAGGAACTATTTAACCTTTGTTCTAGCCAAATGGGGGTAAAAGAGCAGCCTAAGCTCTGTATAGATGTGGAAGCTCATGAATAAACACTTTTTTTTTTTGCATATTGCATATTGTAATGAATGGGAGAAGCTTGCTGAGGAATGGCGACAGCATTCAGAAGAATGGAGAATGAGTAATGCAGCTGCCTTTGAGGATGGTGGCGTGGGTTTAAATTCTTGGAGCAATTTGCAAGGCGTATCAACCTGTCATTTTAAACAACCGTAGGATAGAGAAGATAGCCTAATTTGCAATAGCTGCTAGTTCAGTACTTTGTGAGGGGCTATGTTGTTGGCCATATTCATCTAGCTTGAAACTGGAGTGTGAAATTAGTTTGCTTCTTCGTTTATTACAGCTTTGCTGTGAAAGATGCAGAATAGTTTAAAAGCAGTGTGACCTTGGCAAAGTACATGCAATAAATCAAGATACTTAATCACAGTGAAAGCATAGTCTTTACTGAATATTAAATTGTCATTTGAAGACTGCAAAGTAAGACTGAATGTTTGATGTAACAAAAAGATTGTATTTAATCTATAAGATATAGAAAGGGAACTGATTTATGGTGTAATGTACCAGCTACTGTGACAATATGCTTGTATTCATACTGTACTCTAGCTGAAATCTGTCTTAGAACAGAAGCCTTCTGCATGTTGTGTTAAAAATAAGCTATTTGACAGCAGTAAGATTTAACTCTTTATATGTGGAATTGCAGTCAGAATTGTACCCAAGTTATAAAGTTGCAAGCTCATTATAAATTTTTCCAGTTACTAACAGTCTTTAATGTCACTTAGTTGGTTAAAGTACTACCCATACTGGCTCCAAGCTCTTTTCTGGATGATAATAGTGAATTTCAGAGTCATATGGTAAATGTAGGGAAAATTATAAAAATACAAAGTGGTACTAGTTTGCATTTACTAATGTTGAACTATTATTACCTAAGTGCTCGTTGTCATAAAAATAACTTTTCAGCTCTTTATAGTTGGTGTCTTTAAACAGCATTAAATGATTTTTTGGTTCTGCAGCAAACTTGGCCCTTTTATTAGTATCAACACCTGTTACTACCTTGTTATACTGGTGTTAGTCCTCTGATAACTTCCCTATCTTGTAAAGATTGTTTGCTTATTCCTCCTCTTTTCTTACTATCTTTTCCTGGGGAAATGCAGGTATTGAATTTTTTTCTTTTTTTTTCTTTTTTTTTTTTAATTGTGGATGTTCTATTTATTTTTCTTGGCTGAAATATGTATTTTTCACATTTTAAAGCAGAGGCAGTTGTCTTATACTACTTCTTGAACATTGATCATTTAATCACAGTCTTTTATTTGCCTATTCTTACTTCATTTTTTATAGATTTTCTTAGTCATCTTAAAATTTTCTCTGTGGTGACTGTTAACATTTTTAATCTATGTTTATTATTGTGACTACATCTTTAAGAAAAGCTAAAACTTTATATATATATATATATATTTTTTTTTTCCCCACAACTTTTAGTTGGTTAATTAATTTGTTTCAATTTTTAAGGAAGTTGATTTTAATTAAAAAACTGATCATTTTTAGTGCTCTGAATAGACTTTAACCGTTCAGTGAAATGAGGTACATTTTCATGTGCTTTGTACTGAAATAAGCAGTCATTCTGATGACAAATGGGCAAATACAGTCTGTGGTCCTGTAGAACACTTCCCTTGAAGCCAGTTTTAGCAACATTCAGTTTATTTTTGACACAGATTCTCTGAGATGTTTTAAATTCATAGACATCTTGTTTTTAACAGAAGTGACAACATAATTCAGACTGATTTAGCTTTGACATCACTTCAGATTAATAATGAGCTCTATTTCAGTGTTGTAAAGCTTATATATTAGTATATTAATCTAGCAAGAAAATACAGCCTGAATTATTTTCATAGAAACATAGAATGGTTTGGGTTGGAAGGGACCTTCAAGATCGTCTGGTTCTGACCTCCCTGCTGCTGGCAGGGACATCTCTCACCAGCCCAGGCTGCCCAGGGCCCCATTCAGCCTGGCTTTCAACACCTCCAGGCATGGGGCACCCACAGCTTCTTTGGGCAGCTGTGCCACTGCCTCACAACCCTCGTAGTGAAGAATTTCCTAGCGTCTAACCTAAACCCTCCTTCTTTTAAAACCCTCTTGTTCTATCACTACATTTCTGATAAATAATCCCTTTGCAGCTTTCCTGTATGTCCAGCATCAGGTACTAGAAGGCTGCAGTGAGTTCTCCTCAGAGCCTTCTGTTCTTCAGACCCAACAAGCCCAGCTTATTCAGCCTTTCTTTGTAGGAGAGGTGCTCCAGCCCTCTGATCATCTTTGTGGCCTCCTTTGGACTTAATCCAACAATTCCATGTATTTCCTTTGCTAGGGGCTCCAACCACATGTGGGATTTCATGAGGGCAGAGTAGAGGGGCAGGATCACCTCCCTCTCCGTGCTGATATGAAGATCACCTGGTCCAACCCCCTGCTCAAATGGGACCACCTAGAGCAGATTGCCCAGCTCTGAGTCCAGATGATTTTCTCTCCCAGGATGGAGACTCCACATTTGCTTATCCTAGATTCCCTGCATGGAAAGATAAAGAAATAAATTGACACTTCCACTTTTGAGGCCCTGGAGCATGTCCAGCAGCAAAGCTGGTAAAGGATCTGGAGCACAAGTCTTATAGGGAGCAGCTGAGGAAACTGGGGACTGTTCAGTCCAGAGAAGAGGAGGCTCAGGGGAGACATTATTGCTCTGTACAACTGATGATGAGAAGCATGAGTGAGGGTAGAAGCCAAAGCTAATCCTTAGTTGTATTAATTTTCTGAAAAGCAGAACTGAAAGAAGAAGACTGAAAATTTTGATAGCTTCAACTATCAGAAAAGGGTTTACATATCATTTCATATTGCTTCATACTTGGAGTTTAATTTGAAAATAATACAAACTGCTTTTAAATAAGCGATGACATAGCCTTGTGTTAAAAATCACTATTGAGATTGTGTATTTGGAGATGAATTCTTTGAATTTCTTTAATTTAAAATATTATTGCAGTTTTAATTATATACCTTCCTGGAACAGACAGAAAAGATTATCTTACAATTATTTTAGAATTAATTTAATTTGTTCTTTTGCCTTTCTGAATTAGATAATGTTATTTGCACTTACTGAAATTCAACACTGGTACTTTCAAAATTCAGCAGTCATACTAGGGTAAAGTAGGGTAAGACACTGGCTTTTTATACTTCAAAACTGAATAATGTTTCTACCGTTAAAGACCATTATTTTTTAAGCTAAGTTTTATATACATTTCAGTAAGATATTCTGAGATAATATATTTAAAATTACACAAGTGGCTAATGGTTTGGAATTGATGACATGGTGAATTCAGTTGTCCAAAGACATACTTGGTCTTGACTATGTTTTTTGCAAATTTTTGCCTACCATATTTATTTTTCCTCCTAACATGTGCCCTCTAGTTGTGCTGTTTAGTTAGAATTCAGGACAGTGTGGAATGATCCAGGTAGACAGACATCAGGCTGCAGTTTTGTCAGTATTGCTGTTAAATTGTTCTTCATCGGAGTGCTTGTTCCTCTCCCAGTGCCATCTCTCCTTGCATCAGCAGCAGGTTCACGTGGCCACATCATGAATTATCCTGTGGTATAATTAGCAAGCTTTCCATCGTTCCTTTAGTCCAGAACAGTTCCCTGATTCTTGTTCTGCACGTGACAGGAGGGAGACTTAGATGTTATAATGGAAAGAGCAGTAAAGTCTTGAAAACAAGTAAATGTAAATGTTATGTTATATCAAGTGGAAATATAGCTAAGTTATTTTCAGTGACTTTTTACTTCTGAGTAGATAGTTGTCTCTTAACAGAACTATGGGAAAGCCTCCGTTTCTCTTTAGGTTTTCGGTTTCTGTAGCTTCTGCCTTGCATCACTCTGGGCAAGGCTGCTGTTTCAGTTACTTTACATTAAGGAATATTTCATGTATTTTCTGACTGCATGTCATGAAAGTGTTGTATTCATCACTGTGACAGAAAGGAAGGTAATATATTTTTGCTGGTGGTGGGTAGATTTTGTACAAGGTATGTTTTGTGTGGTGTGATTGTCAGTTTGCTGTGAAATCAAATTGACATAACTCACAGCTGATGGTATCTGTGAGTTTCTCTGTCAAAATTACCTCCCTCATAGAATCATAGAATATCCTGAGTTGGAAGGGGCCCACAAAGATTGTTGAGCCCAACTCCTGGCTCCACATGGGACCACCCAAAATTCAAACCATGTTTCTATGAGTGTTGTCTAAACGCTTCTTGAACTCTGACAGACTCGGTGCTATTACTATCAAAAACAAAATTCACTGTTGGGGACAATGCAGGTATGAAAGACATTCAAGCTATCACGTTGTAACACTGTTCTCATTTTCTTTTGTAGCTGGTTGGTGGTGAATTTGATCTGGAGATGAACTTTATAATCCAGGATGCAGAGAGCATTACGTGCATGTCAGAGCTTTTGGAGCACTGTGATGTAACGTGCCAAGCTGAAATTTGGAGTATGTTCACAGCAATTCTACGTAAAAGTGTCCGTAATTTACAGACTAGCACAGAAGTTGGCTTAATTGAACAGGTACTGCTGAAGATGAGTACTGTGGACGACATGATAGCAGGTATAAATCACCAACTGATAAAACAATCCTTACTGTCAACTTTTTGTGAGTACAGAGGGTTTGTGGATGTTCTGTTTCTTACTGAAAGTAATGTTTTGATTAGTACCTCCACTGAATCAGGTTTTTTATCAATTTCAGAAAAAATGAAGACAAGAATATATATTCATAGTTTAAAATATATGTAGGTGCTGTCTAAAATGATTGCCTATTTATTCTTTTGAGAAGATAGTATTTAGTGATAAAATAAAGCAGTCTGAATATAACCAAAAACAGAATCTGTTAAACTTTCAAGATAATCTCTTAATTCTGATGTACATTGATCATTTTGAATTATTAAGATACTTAGAGTGGTAAGCCACATGTGACAGCATATAAAATTAAGATTAGCTTTAAATGCTGGACATTTGGATTTTATTAATTTATTTCTGTGTGATCACACAGCTAAATCATCAGTCAGCTGTGATTGTTTTCAAAAGCCTGTAATATTTTTACAGTTTAAAAAAATTACACCATTTACTCACTGAAAATAGATGATGAAATTCTTTCACAGACAAGGTTTTTAGATTACTTTTGAAGGAGTTTGTTATTGTATACTACATTCTCTGAGTAGTAGAGTCCTGAATGATTTAGTTAGAGGAGTAGGTTTTGTTATCAAGTTTAAACATGACAACTAAAAGCTATATGTGATTAGTATTTATGTACTCCTTCTTTTTCCTGGGGGGAAACTTAAGCACTTCCTGAAGTGTGAAGGGGATTCTTCATTTTTATATACATTTGGATTGATAGCAGGGTACTTAAGTTGTGAGGCATTTTTGAAAGATGAGAGTTTTGTCTGCTGTAATTCTCTTTTAGTTGATGATCTGATTCCTGACAGATATATAGGCTTTGTAGAACAAAAAAACAACAAGGACTGCAGACCAGAAACAAGAAGCGAATAACAGCAGCAGGAAATATGGATTATTCAGGAATGTTTTTGTCTTTGGCTTTTTTCAGTAAAAAGGTGTATGTAGTAATAAGTATTCAAAAAAGCTCTAATTGTATTTCAAAGTCTTACAAATGTATGTGGAAAGGCTAAAATCAGAAGAAGTGTTATGTTAACTATTGTACTGTGAGATTCAGAGCGATGTATGATCATTAGATGCGTAGACTAATGCTTTGTTTCCAGGACTGGTATATACGTATGAAGGGAAAGGTAATATTTATTTTTAATTAACTATAAGGCATCACTTGATGAACATAGACATTCCTGTCTTCAAGTTCTATCACTGTTTTGTTCTTGGAAATAGGTAATTATACTAATAAAAATTCTTCAGGTCCCCTAAATAATACTTCTGTATATGGCATACATACCTCTGATGATGTCCTTATTGGAGACAAATTTTTCAAATTGCTAAGCTTTCTATAGATGTCACAGATCAAGAGAGTATGGGATCTATCTTCCAGGAACACCTGGAAATTGAAAAATGCTTTCAATTTGCAATTAATATAAATCAGGGGTAATACCTTGATAAAGGAATTTCATCAAGCCTCTTTCCCATTAATAATATTTTTTTTTTTCTGACAGTTGTCACACAATATTTCAGAAAGACTTTCTGTAGAAGAAGCACGAGTAAGCTTTCCCTGCTGAATACTCACGTAGATGAGGAGAGCACGTATTTAGTTTAAAAACAGAACTGAAAATTGAAATTCTTATGACTTACTAGTTCTGGAATGTGTATCTGCAAGCCTTGTACATGTTATGAAATTAACAGAGATTTGGGAGAACACCACACTGTTGGTTCTTTGAGAACTTTAAATAGATGAGTGTGGGTTTTCTTTGAAATTTACTGAGAAAGATGAGAGAAAAAAAACCAAATTTCTATTTTAATTTTATCTTGTTATTTCTGGGAACTCAGCACAATAATGAATGGCAACTTTGGCAATAAAACGGAAGCAGTAAATATGGTCATCTAATAAGCAGTCAGGTAGCAGTCACTTGATGACAAAATGCTAACACATTGATGTATTTTTTAATCTGATCTTAATCTAATATGCATATGCCAAAATCATGGTCAATAATTGTAGAGCAGTTTGGCCCCAGATATTTCTATGAACTTTCCATACTTTGGGGATAAAGTATGAAATTCTCTGGAAAAATAATTTTTAACACTGACAAAGTATGTTCTGAACATACTTCAGCATTCATTAGTTTCCATCCCAGTGTTTTGCAGTTGGCTTTTATCATCTGCAAAAGGTGAAGATTGTTTTGTTGTGTTTTTTGGTTGTTTTTTTTTTTGTTCTGCAGGCTTTTTCTTTGATTTTTAGGTCATCTCATCTTCTTCTTTCTGAAATGCTGTATAGATTGAACCTATATAGGGTCTGAACATACCTGAGACAGGTATTGACTGTTATGTTCTGACAGTGAGAGCAGTCTTTGAGGACCAGTCTAAGGCTGAAGCTAGTGTCCTCTGACCTTATGAAAGTAAGAGAGGCAAATAAACATATACCCAATCTTTTGCAGTGAGAGAAACCTGGTTGTCCATTCAGATGAAGACTGTCAGACTATGAGACTTCTCAGTGCTTTAAATATCTCACTTCTTGAGATTCTGCAGATTCTGTGGTCAAGAATAAAAGCTTAATCAGTGCCAATTGGTATCCAAATGGATTCATTGCTATTTGGATTGTAATTTGTTTTCCAGAAGTATCACAGAATCACAGAATCACAGAATTGTAGGGGTTGGAAGGGACCTCCAGAGATCATCGAGTCCAACCCCCCTGCCAAAGCAGGTTCCCTACAGCAGGTCGCACAGGTAGGCGTCCAGGCAGATCTTGAACATCTCCAGAGAAGGAGACTCCACCACCTCCCTGGGCAGCCTGTTCCAGTGCTCCGTCACCTCACTGTAAAGAAGTTCTTGCGCATGTTTGTGCGGAACTTCCTATGCTGCAGTTTCCAGCCGTTTCCCCTTGTCCTGTCTCCACTCACCACTGAAAAGAGTCCGGCCTCGCCATTCTGCCCCCCACACCTTAGATATTTATAGACCTGCATCAGGTCCCCTCTCAGTCTCCTTTTCTCAAGGCTGAACAGACCCAGTTCACTCAGCCTTGCCTCATAGGGGAGATGCTCCAGGCCCTTCACCATCTTCGTGGCCCTCCGCTGGACTCTTTCCAAGAGATCCCTGTCTTTTTTGTACTGGGGAGCCCAGAACTGGACGCAGTACTCCAGATGAGGTCTTACCAGGGCAGAGTAGAGGGGGAGGATCACCTCCTTTGACCTGCTGGCCACGCTCTTTTTAATGCACCCCAGAATGCCATTGGCCTTTTTGGCCACAAAGGCACACTGCTGGCTCATGGCCAACCTGTCGTCCACCAGGACACCCAGGTCCCTCTCCGCAGAGCTCCCCTCCAGCAGGTCATCCCCCAACCTGTACTGGTGCATGGAATTATTCCTCCCCAGATGCAAGACTCTACACTTGCTTTTGTTAAACCTCATCCGGTTTTTTTCTGCCCAGCTCTCCAGCCTATCCAGGTCTTGCTGAATGGCAACACAGCCTTCAGGCATGTCAGCCAATCCTCCCAACTTCGTATCATCGGCAAACTTGCTGAGGGTGGCCATTATCCCCTCATCAAGGTCATTGATGAAGATGTTGAACAAGACCGGACCCAGCACAGACCCCTGAGGAACACCGCTGGTTACAGGCCTCCAACCGGACTCTGCACCACCAACAACGACCCTCTGTGCTCTGCCAGTCAGCCAGTTCTCAACCCACCTCACTGTCCACTCATCTATCCCACACTTCCTCAGCTTTGTTATAAGGACGTCATGGGGGACAGTATCAAATGCCTTGCTGAAATCAAGGTAGACTACATCCACTGCTCTCCCCCTATCCACCCAGCCAGAGACAACATCATAGAAGGCTACCAGGTTGGTCAAGCACGACCTCCCCCTTGTGAACCCGTGCTGACTACTCCTGATAACCTCCTCTTCTTCCAGTCGTCTGGAGATGACATCCAGTACAAGCTGTTCCATCACCTTTCCAGGGACAGAGGTGAGGCTGACTGGCCTATAATTGCCTGGGTCTTCCTTCTTGCCTTTTTTGAAGACCGGGGTGACGTTGGCTATCTTCCAGTCTTCAGGCACCTTCCCCGTCTTCCAAGACTTCTCAAAGATGACAGAAAGCAGTTCAGCAATCACCTCTGTCAGCTCCCTCAGCACCCGTGGATGAATCCCATCGGGTCCCATGGATTTGTGAACATTGGTGTTGCCTAGGCGCTCCTGGACCACCTCTTCCCTGACAGAAGGGGGTCTTCCATTCCCCAGATCCTCTCACTAATCTCCAGTCACCTATCCAATCATCCTATCCTATCATTCCATCACCTATCACAATTCATCTGTACACTATGATAATCTGTTATACTAAGATAGGGGCTGATCAGACACTTTATCAATCTTTAGGCAAAAGATTATGGAAATATTCACTTAGGTGATTGGCAGACTTTTTTATTAACAGCTGCCCAGGAGTTCTCTCTTTTCTTTCTGCTTGATGAATAGTGATGCAGATATTCTGTTCCAAGAGACTCCTTGGTATAAGAGATAACGTATCTGTAGTAACTTCAGAGATGTCTGAAAGGTGAACATAACCCTACCTCATACTCAGTGGATGTGTCTCCCTTGAGCCCCATTTTATTTTCTGCAGTTCTGTTGTGATGCTTTAGGTATTTGTTTTGGAATATCTGGATCAAAATTCTTAACTATTGAAACAGTTCCTGATTTCTAAGCAAAAATGTTAGCTTTGAACTGTCCTGCCCTTAGCAGGCTGTTAACAATCATTTATCTTCCAACTGGATCCACAAAAGAAGATTCAAAATTCTTGTATTCTCTATTGCCAGTCTGTAGAACTACATCTGCTTCACAACTAGAGCTAAAATTCTCTGTTTCATGGCTGCCTGTTGCCTAACATTTAAGGAGGCATGAAGTAGTTTTCCGGAAGTCGCATTCCCAATGCTGTTCCACACATGTTCTAAAGTTAATGCTCATCATCCAATGAGATATATTCTGTTTACCTGAGAGACAGGCAGGCTCTTTTGCCATTTTATTTTCGAATGAAATGATTGAATTAAGCATTTCTTCAAAGCTTTTGATGAATTGGTAAAGCAAATATAAACTGCTTAGCATGAAAGTATTCAGAAAATGCCAGTAAAAAAAAAAAAATCTGTTTCATTCTGTGCATTTTCCAAATGTTGTACAAATGAGAAAGTGTCTGTTTTCTCCTTCTGGACTTTCTTATTTCTGAAATGAGATCACAGATACCAGTTTTATATGCAATCATATTTAACATTACAGAAAATGATGAAAATGTTAAAAACAAAAGGGGAGATTATGGTGTTTTGTAGCATTGTTCATTTACAGATGAGCAGACTATTACGATTATAAATCAGGGGTGGACTGACTATTTTCAGTGAGATTTTAATATGTATGAATAAAGTTTTGTAGTAATAGTGCAGGCTTTTTTATATTTGGTTACACCAAAGCAAAAAACAGCCCCTCTTCAGAGGTGTGTAAGGGAAAATGTTGCCTGTTGTATTTAGTTGCTTAAGTACACTGACTTCCATAGGTGTTCCTTCCATTATCTGCAGTTGTTACCTCAGCATGCTTCAATCTTTCTGGTCTTTGTTTTACTGAAGAATACAATGTTAGGGAATTTATACTTATGTATCTCCCTAAATGTTTTATTCATTCTTAGTAACTATGGACTGCTAATGCCTGTGGGGTATTAATATCTTGAGAAGAAATAAGACATTTTCTGTGCCCTAAGGTAGTCCAGGACTTTAACGATGAAGCAACATAACGCGTGTTCAGTGATTTTAAAAGTCTGTCAGTCGTTCCTGTGCTTGGTTGTATTGCTCTTGTCATCATCTGTGGTAGAGGATTTTTTTAACTGCCTTCTAATTTTCATCAAACATTTTTTGCTTCTACACGAGACGTTATAAAGAAAGCAAAAATTGAAGTAGCTTGATTTAAAACACAGACTAAGACTTGGGAATAGGGAAATTCTCAGCTGAAGACTGGTATTCACTCATGCTGATTTCCCTTTCTGAGTTGTCAGTGTTACTGTTCTCAGTTTCTGCTCACGTACAACATGTGAGATCACTGCCAGCTTCATGTTGCATGCTAGTGACTGAATGGTGAAGGGGGCAGATGGCTTTAGGTACTAGAGGACCAGCTGGGTACATATGACCTGTCTTCTTCGCTGTGTTTTGCTTTCCTTCAGGAAATTCTATCACGATTATAACCTACCACTAATTTTAAAAGGAATATTAATTAAACTCCCAAACAAACTGTTTGGAGAAAGGAATAAAAACATGGTTGAGCTTTAATATTCGGGAAATAGTCTGATTTTTATGGTGAAAATTACTGTGAGTTACAGTGTTTTTGTGTTTTGTCTTCTTGTTTTGCTTTTCCTGACATGCAAATTTAATGCATCAGTGAACAGCTTAGTATGTCCCCTGTGAATTGAATGCCTTTTGTACTAAAGACCAGAGACTGGTTTCATAGTGGAAGAAGCTAATAGATAGTGATAGCTTTACACAAAAACATATATGTGGGGATTTGCAGAGAACATTTGTTTAAAAACAAGATATCATCCTAGAGAATTAATATTTTTTAATGCTACTATTTGTTAGCAGGTCTAAGACTCATTCTTTCACTGATTAACAAAGAGAACATGCATACTTATAAAGAAGTTACAAGCTTGATCGTGTCTTTTGAAGGGTCTACAGGGAGAATGTTCTGATTGTTGAGCATTGAAGAAATTAGATTGTTAATGCTGATTCTATTTTGTCGTAGCTTTTTTGTTTTGAAATGTCTGTACTTCAGTTTGATCTCTGAGTTAATTTCTTGTGATACATCTGCAAAGATGTGCAATTTGTTTTTCCTTCTAGTAAAGGCAATAGTAATTTCTTGTAGTGCTGTTTATTTCAGAAGAAAATGCAGAGCATAGGCAAAATCCATCGTCCCACAAACTAACAAATTTTTAAAATGAAATTCTGTGTTCAAAAGTTTTATACCTGATTTTACCTGAAAGGCAAGCTATGTAATGCTATTATTTAAAATTTCATGGATTTTGAGGTGTTTTAGTGAAAGATATATTACACAGACTTTAAGAATTTTGATGACTTCTTTTTATTTTGGTCTTGTTTTTTCTCACTGATTTTCATTTTATTGTTGCTGATGGTGGGTTATTTGGTTGGTTGGTTCTGGCTTTTCATTTTGGTAAAAATTGGAAGCATTTTCACTGTAGCAAAGCTGTGTGAAACATAAAAATTCTCCGAATAATGCACTTAACAGTAAAGTATTAAACATAAAGTACTTCACTGAAAAAATAATTTCAAACACCTTTTAGATTAGAAGTGTTCGAAAAATACTAACTTCAGAGGAATGAAGAAGCCTTTATCCCAAAAGTTTACAATAGAAATGAACAAGCAATAAGTTTATAATGTATGATGAATGGTACAGAAGAGGAAGAATTAATCTTCATAAATATAGTAGATGCTTTGTTCGTAAGTGTGATGCAACATCTGAAACTGCATATGTAAATTTATTTTTAACATTAATCAACGATAATATGAAATCCTTTGTAAAATATTTAAAGCCACTAAGTTGATTTTTAGAAGTTGTGAATACATTTACTTTTAAAGGTATTAACTTCTTCAGCTTTTTTTTTTTTCTGTCGAAACAATGAAATTCAGAGTTCAGAATAACTTTATTTTCCTTTGAAGATCTTCTAGTTGATATGTTGGGGGTTCTTGCCAGCTACAGCATCACTGTCAAAGAGTTGAAGCTTTTGTTCAGCATGCTTCGAGGCGAAAATGGAATCTGGGTAAGCTGTGATCAGATAAAGCATTAAGTGTCATTCCATTAGAGACTGAAGTTAACATAAATTGTCTCCTGGGACATATAAACTTGAATATTTTTTTTCATCTTGATTGAACATATGTTTATGAAGTATTTTAGCTAACTACTATAGAGTTAATTTGCTGTGTTGTTTGAAAACTGTCCGGTTTCCATTGTAGCCTAACGAATATAAAACTGTCTGTATTTACTCCAGTGCAATTTTCTTGTTTTCACAGCCAAGACACGCAGTTAAATTGTTATCAGTCCTTAATCAGATGCCACAGAGACATGGGCCTGATACCTTTTTCAACTTCCCTGGCTGTAGTGCTGCAGTAAGTTTTCAACCAAAATAGTACAATTTGAGGAACAAATAAATTGCATCTTCCTTGCATTTCCTGTATTTTGCCTTTGGAAATTTGTGCAAGGGAAACAGAGGAAGTGCATACCTGAATACCACAGACTTTGCTTTCCATTAGGTTTGCAAGATAGTTGTACTGTTGAAATGGTACACTTACGAGAATTGGAATGTCATACACCAGATTTTTGACAGGGGAAATTGCCATTAAAGTGAAAATTTACAATTCCTAAGAATAGCATTTGTTTTGAATAATGTAATTGGTACTATGTTACATAAATCTGGGCCTTGAGGAAAATGTGGAGTTTATAGTGACAGCTAAGTCAGAAATTTTATTGTATCTTTTTCAAGTTCCAGAAAAACAAAAACAAACAAACAAACAAACAAAAAAAACTGCACAAAAATATAAATGTTGTATACAGATTATAAATATACTTATTCAGGCAGTGTAAATGTTAAAAAAAGAGAACTCCAGATTTGAGGTTCAATACATTCTGGTATGGAGAGGAAGTCATTCTGTGCCTTCATTCCAAAGGATGAGGGGTGATAACAGATTCTCTTGGACTGTTGCAAATGCATTTCCTCAACTTAAATCTTAAACCACCACCTCTTCTTTGTCAGTACAGCCGTTGGTATAGTGGATTAGATCAGCGAAATAAAGTGGTTGAAAATAACTTTTTCACCCAGCCTATTTTTGGCTAAAATACTTCCTTGATCTTGTTCAATATTTGTCTGCATAAACAGATGTACCACCAAAGTGCATAGAGTGCACTGTGTGAGGATTTAGTAGTTGAGCTTTGAAAGAGAGCATTTCATTTGCTACTACTAAGTTAAAACCATTGTTAATCTCTACCAAATGTAAATGCAGCAAGAAGATAGCTGTTACAAAATATGAATGTCTACTGTGACATACACTGCTGTGATATTTCTGGGCTTCCGAGGCAAATCATGATGAAATGTTTGTCTTAAATTTGATTTTCACTTAGATCTTCAGAAAAAGTTTTGCAGAAAAATTTCAAATATGTATTCCTGTCTAAAAACGTGCAGCAATTTGCGTCAGTTACTGGGAGTCACATTTAAAATTGAAATGTGCAGTAAGCGTTCCCCTTTCCTTGGCCATGATCTTGCTTCATATACGTACTACTCATCATTGATTGTGCACCTGGAAATCATTAAATACAAGTTTCAATTTTACATTTCTTGAGTAGTCCATGTTGTATTGCACTATGAAGATCTAGAGAGGATTCATTCTCTGAAGTGAACTGTGGACAACTGCTTCTAAAATCACTTGTTAGAGCTGAGGTAGAACCAAGTTCTGCACTGAATTGAGTTTTTCAGTTGTAATGCACATTGGTGACATCAATGTAGTACCGATGCAGAGTAACTGCATAATATTTACCTGGTGATAAATATCTTTAAAATTGGATGCATTCTCCACCTATACCCAAGACTTCATCTGCAGTATGTGAAGGTTGAAAAGTCAGTTGTACCAATACTGAACTACTTGTGAGAGCTCCCTTACTGTTGCAAATGAAGGGTTCTTCCTAGTGCTAGAAGTATGTTCTCTATTAGTATAATTTACGTAGTTAAAAATTAAAGTATTTTAAAATAAATGGAAAACAATGCATTTTTTTTCAGAAGCACTATTTAAAGTTTTTAAATATTTTTCTTTAATATTTGAATGTTAGAGTAGATCTGCAGATTTATAATAAGAAAATTTTATAAAGAGATTATATTTAGCAATGCTTAACAAAAAATGTATTCTTGGCTTGTTCTCTTTTTATCCTTTTTTTCTTTTTTTCTTTTTAGGCAATTGCATTGCCTCCTATTGCTAAGTGGCCTTATCAAAATGGGTTTACCCTTAACACTTGGTTTCGTATGGACCCACTAAACAATATCAATGTGGATAAGGATAAACCCTATCTCTACTGGTAAGTAACTTTTACTCATGTATTTATAGTTTTCTTTGGTTTCTTAATAACCATCCAGTTGTTGGTTTTTGTTTTTTTTAATTTTTAGTTCCTTACACACATTTTTTTTATACCTAAAATATCACAAATTTAATTTAATTTGCTGTTCTGATAAAAATAGAAGTAATATCTTCATCCTTAATGAAGTCTGTCACTGAGGATAGTTGAATACTGAAAAATCTTGAATGATTAAAAAGTTAAAAATTCAGGATAAAAATATATCCAGAGCTTTCCTCTCATTCTCCAATCCAGTCATTTAATTGTAGCAAGCTTCTTTTTGATCAAAGATGATTTCCTATTTGTAAATCCTTCCTGGCCACTCCCAGTTACTTAGTTATGATCCAAGTGGCAACTGACTGCAGAATGATGTGGCCAGAGATCTTTCTGGTGGGAGAGACTTACCTCAACTTGGCTGTTTAACGTGGACCCTTGTGCACAGAAATGGAGAAGGGAAGTAAAGAAGTGCTTTTGCATTTTCAAGATGTGAGAGAAAATAACTAGTTTTGTAATTATCTAAATACTGGGTGCTGCTTCAAGAACTGTAAGTCAATTAAAAAACAAAAAAAAAAAAATCATTGAAGCTATTTCCAAGGGTGGTATCAGGTAACTGCTAAGTGATTGATAGTTTTAATACTTGTGTATTGGAACAGTTATTGTAGCTTTCTTACCAATTACAAAATGAATGCTAAGAATCTTGGAAGAAAATGATTTGACAAATATATGAATGATGAGTAGAAGAAATAGACTGTTACAGAGCAGTCAAGTTCAAATGGTAGGATGAACAGAATTCAGTAGCACAGATTTTAATACAATAAAATGAGGATCACGTACCTAGCAGTGAATAATGAGTGCCATGCTTACAGAATTAGTAGTTATGCACTAGAAAGTAGTGATTACAGAATGATGAGAGTTATTGTAGGTGACCAACTGACCATGAATGGAATGAGAGAACTAATGGAATATTTTCAAGGAACAAACAGAGAGGAGAGTAAAGGTGAAGTGATTGTTACCTGAAATCTTGGCAGAAGAATTGCATTTTGCAATTGCAAGTTGCCATTTCTTTTAAGAGACCATGTTAAAATTGGGTAGAATTCTGAAAACATTCTGGAGTGAACAGTACTCTGAAAAAGACATTTGCTAAGGAAAGTTTTAGAGAGATAAGGGTGAAACCCAAGCTAGATTGGTAGAATTGTACAGCTTTGTCCTTAAATCCAAGTGCTTTTACAACCACTTAATGGAAGAATGTCTAAAGCTTCAGAAAGATCTTTGCAAAATTTTATTTTTACAGATGTTGGCACAAGAAACAGAGTACCAAGGAAAGCCCTCTTGACTTCATTCCCTCTCTGCTGATAATAATAGAATAATGCAAAATAGTTGCAAAGGCATGTAATGGAACTACAGAATTAGTAGAAAAGAAATCATTTCTTACCTTCAGGATAAGGATACTGAGATTGAGAATATATTATCTCAAATGTTCCTATCTGAAATTCCTTATAAAATCCTAAGCTAAAAAACAGGAATCATTAAGCAGTTTCACCAGTGTATGGGAGAATGTTTACTTGCTATTGAAGTGTAATAACATGCAGTAGCTGCTTTGAGAAAATGACTGAAATGAAACTGATAACTGAAATGTTGTTATGAGTTATCTGGAGTAAAATCATATACCAGCTGCTGTGGGAAGTAGTTTTAGGCTCCTAAAGCTGCATAGGTATTGACAATATTTTCTTGTTTCTTCTATGCATTTCATTGTAGTACGCAGCAAGTTCTGCATGTGTAGGTAATTGATAAGACAATTTCTGCATAGCATCCCAGAGAACAGTGCTAGCCTACTTTACCTTTGGCAAGAAAGACAATGTGAAAATTAACATAATCTGCATAATTTAATATTGAGGCAAACAGAAGTCATATTTGTTTTCTCAATTTCTCAATTATGGTTATAGAATGCTAATTAACATGGTCCCAAAGAGAAATCTTGATGCATAGTGGCAAGTCTTCATGTTTAGCGAATTCTATTCTAAGATGGAGAAATCTGGCCTGCTCAGAAAAGAGCTATTACTTCTTTATTTCAGTGCTTTCTTGTCTTAAAATGCTGAACTCCAGGAAGTTACACACATCTAAGCATGTTTCAGTCCTTAGAGATAGATGGAGATGTTGTATATTACTGAGAAACAAATTTGGCATTGAGACATGCTGCTATCCAGTGAAAAGTTCTTTGAATGCCATTAAGCCCAAGGCAAGTGTATCAGAATCTCAAAATAGCCCACCACACGTTCAATGTTGTCAAGATTCTATTTTTACATGTTTAACCTTCATGTTATTTGACAGAGTTAGCTAGGTGATATTGTAGATTATTTGTGTATGGGTAATGTTCTCCCTTGAGGCTGTTCACTGTTTCTTTTGTTGTGGAATATAGTTGCCTCCAGGGTCATTGTGAAAGCTAAATCCTTGAAGTGCATCCATGTTGAAAATAATCCTCAACAGACAAAGGAGAGTTGTACTGTTATAAATTCACTGTTGAGGTCAGTTGTGATGGACAGCATGTATTTTTTCCTGTTCGTTCTGTTCATTAGATTACGTTTTAAGCTTATTTAGGTTTATTAAAAGTGTCCTCTTTTTGTGAGGAAGATTGTGTGAAAGCCTGTACGAAGGGCTGTGACAGAGGAGAATGCTCCTTCCATTGTGGTTGTGCACCACACATACGTAAAAAAACCAGAAATAAGAATGGGAAAAAACATAGCCTGAATTTGGGAAAGTAAAGCTTCTTTAACATCTTGACAGTATGCTAAAAGGAAAGTGCAAACTAAAACATGGCTAGTGAATAGAGATATGAGGCATAGTGTGCTGCAAGTCCAAAGATAAATCAAGGCTGGAAGGAAGGACCTCAGTGCAAGGCCACACTGATGTGGAGAAGAGTTGTCTGTTATTCCTGTTCTATTTAGCATAATCACTCTGCTTTTCCCATTTAGTAGGCGTATTCTAATTAATTATAACAGAAGTGGCTTTCTGGAATTTGAGAATTGAAATGACTTTTTTTTTTACCTCCTTTAAACAAGTTCTTTCATAAGAGAAGAGCATCTAAGATCTGGCCACCTGGTGTGTCTAGTCACATCAACTATATTGAGAGGCAATTTTTTTACCAGAAGACTGTGCTTTATCAGCTATATTCTTGACAGTGAAGAATGAGGAAAGTCTTAATGAACGCATTTAACTGTATGTTTCTGAAGATGAAATTAAATCTCTAATTATGCAGTTTTTTGACATATTGAAACAGGATGTTACTAGCATAGTGGGATAGATTAAAGATGTAGAATTTCAGGAGCTATTAAGAAGATGAAATCTGAACTGTTTGCATATACTTTTCACCTCTTAATGGTACTACGAAAAACCTAATACGAGTGTTTAGTAAAAATATTCCAACAGTAAAACCATTTAAAGAGTCATTATTTTAATAACGTGAAATTATTTTAAAAGCATCTTACATCAATGAAAGAGAGAAGGTGTTAATTATTGGGCTATATGAGTATACTCAAATTTGTAATGACTTTTTAAATACTTGGGAAATTTCCTTTTGAATGTTATGGATGAGGTTCACCATACGGAAGGAATGTATTTCAGCAATAGGTTATTTTTCAAAACCTGAGGTTTAAAAAGATTTTAGATTAAAATTTTTATCAATTCTGTAAATAATAACACACATATCTATTGTACCCAGAAAGGAAAAAAATGACATAGCTTACATAGTTGTAACTATACATTTAAAAAATGTTCTAATTTGATTCATTAATTTCCACTAACTTCCTTTGCAGAATGTATCTTAAGAATTCCAGAATTTCTCTTTACACTGCCTTTGATTTCAAATGTAAAAAGAAGTATTTGCTTTTTGCATTTTCTATCTTTATGATATTTGCCACAGAAAGCTCATTAAATTTACTTTAAAAAGATATAATTAGATGCTGCATTGGTTTAAACAATCAATTTGACAAATGAAAATAAGTCCACAATGTGGATACCGGTAACTACATAGATAAGTATCCTAATTCATCAGACCTGAAAAAGAAATTGCTGCACACAGTAATTAACTGGAATCCAAACTTGTATGTTTTACCTGTTACATTTTTCTCCTAGCCCCACAAAACTGCAATGCATCTTTCAAAATCTAAGCATAGCGTTTGGTTCTGTGATGCCTTTAGAACTTAAATTAGAAGTAATATTTTAAATGTGAATGAAACTGAGGACAAAAACCTGACAAATGCTAGATTTGGAGATTTACTATCTTGTATTTCTGGAAACAGAGGAGAAAATATATATTTATTGGTTTTTTTAGAATGTAGCCCAGAATGAATTTGTCATGAAAATTAGTAGAAAACCTTTCCTCATCACTCACCATTCCCCTCCCTCCACCCACCCTAAGAAAAAGGGGGAACAGAGGAAATTAGGAACTTAAATTCACTGTTCCAGAAGTCAGTTTCTTTTCTTTCTCATGGCAATTTAGAGTGGTATTTTGAACCCTCTTTTATTACATGAGAGTTCCTTTTCTAATTTCATTGATGATTTTTTCTTTTCAGTTTCCGCACTAGCAAAGGTGTTGGGTATTCTGCTCATTTTGTTGGCAATTGCTTAATAGTTACATCACTGAAGTCAAAAGGCAAAGGTTTCCAGCACTGTGTGAAGTATGACTTTCAACCACGCAAGGTAAGTAAAGTAATAGTCATAATAAAAATTAACCTTGATAATGCTACAAAATGCTTCTGGGAAGAAGTACTAAAATCGTTTTAGTGATATAGTATTATTAATAATATGCAATTTTTTATTTATAAGTACCTTCTCTGACTGTCATGCAGAATTTTATGTCATTTACTGGCCAGAATCAATTCCAGAAAAAAATAATAATTTATGAAGTAACACTTTTATGAAGTCAACTTGTTTTAAAAATACTGCTCAATTAGCTGCAGATATGGAATAATTTTGACTACTTGTGAAGTGATTGAATGTCATCCCTCAAAGATCTGTGTTACAAAAGTAATTCAAATTCTGAACATTCTGTACTTGGTGACTTTGGTAACAATGCCTGAAACAATTCTGCTGGCAGAATTTCTGGAAGAAACAAGGATCCAAACTTGATTAGTGATATTGAGGGATTTCTCATTTTTCATACTGAATGTTGATTATTTCTCTAGATCATATTAGTGTTTCTTTCTGATGTATGTCTAATACTCATAGGAGAACAATGATTCTGCTTGCTTCAAGATTTCAGGAAGTTGGCTTAAGCATTGGCTTTCCCTTACAGCGACCATTATGTGTTTGGCATTGGCAATAGCCTTATATGTATTTTGTTGTGAAGCTCATTTCTTTTTTATGGCCTCAGAGTTTAAATATTGAATTTCAGAACTTGTTCTATCTCAAGAAACCTGTGTTTTGGGGAAGGTTGCTGCTACTCACTTATCAACTTTGTGTTCCACTACTTTTCTTATGATTTTGTGATTCAAAATCACCAATTCTAATTCTATTATGTAGTTTGAATTTGTGGGGTTTTTCTAATGTGGTAACGTTCTTTCCTACCCTGTCATTCAACAGTGTATACAGCCTTATAAACATGTATCTGCTGCATGTGTAGATTCTGTTCTGCGAATTTATTTTAAAGCCAGAAAGGTGTTTTAATGACAGGTTAGGTTTTCTTTTGAAATAATGTCTTACATTACTAAACACTAAACCTAGGAACAAAAGAAATTATTAACTTGTGTATTATGTTATTGTTAAGTAGATGTCGAGAGCCAGCTGATTCTTTTTTCTCCTGTTTTAGCAAGATATTACTGTCAGTGAATATATCTTCACACAAAACTTGGAAAGTATTAGCTCTTGCTGTTATATTATTCTAACTATTCTAGTTAATTCTGAAATACTAACAAATGTGTGTATTAAATTAGATGTAATAAATGAAATACGTACCTATTGACAAAGCAGCTTACTGTTGAAATTGTATCTTGGGAAGTGTAATTTTCTAGCTGTTTTCTAGCATTTGCTTACAGATATAGACATCTTAGCAATAGCTTTTGCTAGGAAACATCCTCATTAAACTTCTGAATAATTAATCTTTTTAAAATATTTTTGTTGAATCACAGTAGAGTTATATAATCAAGCCTAATGCTCAAAAGATCAGAAAGATACGTTCGTGTGAATATCTTTAAACTATTATGTCTGTATCCTTAATGTGTGATGCCTCCTCTCTCCAATTGAGCTGTACTATGAAGTAGCTGTGAAGTATCCACTTATTCAACAGTGAGTGATAAAGCTTGAAAGATTTCAGCTGCATGAAAGATTGACAGGCTGTTATCTATATTGAGGTGTCTTTAGATATTACCTATGGAGGCCCTTTATAGCAAAGAGACATTTTGTTTTCAGAGAAAATCATATAGGGAATAAGAACACAGGATGAACTTAAAGGAAGGCTGTATAATTGGCATGGAAAAAAAAAAAAAAAAAAAAAGTAAATTTTTCAAGTTAATGTTGAAGAAAAATATATTTTGGGAGCATTTTGTTTGGTTACTTGTGTGGCAGAAAAGGCCTGAAAACCATGTCCTCAAATACAAAATGGAAGAGAAATCAAAAATATTCTGGTGAAAACAAACAAACAAACCTGGAGTGTCTGTTTCAAATGAGGATACTGACTTAACAAAAATATGAGAATATGACTTGTCAGTCAGTGGGCACTCACCTAAAATTACACATAGAGGAGTCATGCTTTGCATTAAGGAGTTGGGCTAACCAGATAGATAAATTCATTGTAACAGTAAGGAGTAAAGTTTCTGAACACTGCAAATCACTAAGTAGAAAACCCAGGTTATTCAGTTTAAATTTTTAGCCACACGATGAGAATAAAATCTCTGGTGGACTAGGAAAGATCAGAAGATGAAACAATAAAGAGAATCGTATATTATTGATATGAACTGGTAGCATCTTATTGGGATGAGAGTTCAAACTTTTAAATACCAGAAGCTTCTTGAAAATTTTAAGGTACTCAAAGATTGACTTGCTTGACCTGTCTTGGAAAAACAACAACAACAACAAAAAAACAAAACAGAGTAAAAACAAAACAGAATTATGTAGATATACAGGAGTTTTAACTTTTGTTTGTAAATTATCTACCAAAATTTCTTCCTTAAGGAAAAAAAAAAGAAAAAAAAATCATATTAGGAAAGGAGCAGTTAAAAAAACTGAAGCATCAACCACAGAATCACTAGGCAACCTGTTCCAGTGCCTCACCACCCTCACTGTAAAAGCCTTTTTCTTTATAACCAACTTGAAACTACTTCTCCTTGCCCTGTCACCACAGATCCTGCTAAAGAGTCTGTATCCTTCTTTCCTGTAGCTCCCCCTTAGATACTGAAAGGGGGGTCTGCAAGAGTACATTGCTGGCTCACGCCCAGCTTCCCATTCACCAGTACTGCCAGGTCCTCTTCAGTAGGGCTGCCCTCAATCCTTTCATCCCCCAGCTTGTATTCGTAATGGGAGTTACCTCAACCCAAGTGCAAGACCTTTAGATTTGTTGAAACTCATGAGGTTCACCTGGGCCCACTGCTCAAGCCTGTCTAGGTTCCTCTGGATGGCATCCCATCCTTCTAGTGTGTCAACTGTACCCGCTGCTTGCTGTCATCAGCAAACTTGCTGAGGGTGCACTCAACCCCACTGTCAATTTCATTGATGGAGATATTAAAGGGTATCCGTCCCAGCACTTACCCCTGGGGGGCACCATTCATCACTGATCTCCTTCCAGACATTGAGCCATTGACCATCACTCTCTAGACTCAAACTTGCAGCCAGTTCTTCATCCATTTAACAGTCCGCTTATCAAATCCATATCTTAACAATTTGGAGAGAAGGATGTTGTGGGATACTGTGTCAAAGGCCTTACTGAAGCCCAGATAGATGACATCAGTAGCTCTTTCCTTGTCCTCTGATGCAGTTACACCATCATAACAGGTCACTAGGTTGTTCAAGCAGTATTTACCCCTGGTGGAGCTATGCTGGTTCTCCTGTATTACCTGCCTGTCTTCCTTGTGCCTTAGCATAGCTTCCAGGGGGATCTGCTCCATAATCTTTCCCAGCACAGGGAGGATACTGACAGGTCAGTAGATCCTGTGGTGATCCTTTCTATCTTCTTAAAAATGGATGTGATGTTACCTTTTTTTCTGTCACCAGGGACTTCACCTGATTGCCACAACTTTTCATTACCACAGAATGGCTTGATAACTACATCAGCTAATTCTCTCAGGACTCTGGGATGCGTGAATTTAACCACAGCATGGTCATTGCAGCCCAGGCAGCCTCATATCCTGATGTCACCAATCAGTTTGTTTACATTGGTGAGCAACAGGTCCAGTATTGCATCCCTCCTGGCAGGACCATCTATTACTTGACTCAGAAAGTTATCCACAATGCATTCCTGGAGTCTCCTGGGTTGCCTACATCTTGCTGTGCTACTTTTCCAGCAGGTGTCTGGATGGTTGGAGTCCCCCAGAAGAATGAGCACTTGCTATCACGATGCCTCTTGGAGCTGGAAGTGGAAGGTCTCTTCAGTAGGCCCTGCTTGGTCAGGTGGCCTGTAGTAGACACCAGTCACAAGGCTCCCTTTGCTACCTTGGTTTCTAACTGTCACCCATATGTTTTTTACTTGCTCATGACTATTCTGTAGGGAACATTCTTCACGTTCTATTCCCTTTCTAGATTTAGATAGCAATCCCCCTCCTCTCCTTCCTTGTCTGTCCCTTCTGAACAGTTTGTAGCAGTTAATAGCCACACTTCAGCCATGGGAATCATCCCATCAGGTTTTGTTGATAGCAACCGTATCATGGTTTTCCAGTAGTACAGTAGCTTTCGGCTCCTCCTGTTTGTTTCCCAAGCTATGTGCATTGGTGTAGAGGCACTTCAGCCGGGCAGCTGGTCTTATTGCTTCCTTACAGGATAACTCCTCAGTTCCTCTTAAGTATTTCCATTGATTTCTCTATTACCTTCTCCTATTGCCCCAGTAGTCACTGCCTCATCATCGTAAGATTTTGTATGTGCTGCAGTGTTGCCAGCATCTCTCAAGGCAGCAGCTCTTGAGAGCCAGCTGCAACAATGATTGTTTGTGGTTTTGGAGATTGCTCAATAACTTTAGGCATTTTACTCCTCTGAAGGGTCTCTCAGACTCAAAGAAATTAGATTGTCATGGAGCAAAAAAGAAACAACAGTTTAAAATGTAAATTTAGTTCATTCAAGTGGAGGAGGCAAAGGACCTGGATTAGTTGTGATAAGTAGTTGGAGTAAACTATGTGTGCATACACGTGTGTGCATGCATGCACACTGAGGAAAAGTTCAGTGTGTTCTGCAGAGCTTGCCTTGGAGAACAGAGCAACAGAAGTAGATAGTTCTCTGAAGCAGAAACTATGTGAAAGATTCAAAAAAATCACATGACAGGAAGGAGGTTGACTAAAAGAAGCTGAATGTGTGAAAAGAAGTAGTTAACATGCAAATAAAAGGCTATTTAAATGAAAAGATTATATTGCTGAAGACTGACATGCACAACAAGCAACGATGCTATGAAAAGACAGTCTTGCTCTTTCTAGTTCCTTATAGGGTTTGTGGACAGTGTTACAATAAAAGATTGATGACCTATTTGTTTCCAGACAAGTGAGCCAGCTAATGAGTTCAAACTACACACAACAGAACAAACTGCACAACGTCTTGCAAATTGGTATATTGTCTGAAATGCTCTTAAAACACTGTACATGGGAAGTCATAGAAAATAAATGAGTAAAACTGTGGGCTTATTGTTGTGAACTTATTTCTCTGTTAGAAAAGTATCAGAAATACAAGAAAATAGCTATAAAAGGTACAACTTTAATAGTGTCGTTGCAGTGAACATGTGCTCAGCAGAATCGTCTCTAAATGGAGATTACTGTTAAATAAACTAGAAGGAAAGAGGACAAGGGCATTTTTTGTCTAACAGATCAATGCTAGGTGACAGAAGATTTGAAGAAGAAACACGGACTAAAGCAGAGCCTTAGTCATGCAGTTTGCACTCAATTTCTGATTATCATAGCGACCAGCTAAGCTTCAGGGATTTCAGAGGTGAATATTTTACTGAATCTATGGGAGATGTTTATATCTATAATAGAAACTTCCCACAAAAAGAAAAAAAAAAAAAAAAAGAATTTGTGATTTTTGTGTGTGTGTTTGTTTCTTTTTTTTTCCTTTCACCCTCTTGGGAAAGGAGGCCATTGGTCAAGAAACGTTAATTTGTTAATTATTACTTGGAAAAAAAAAAAAGGCTGGGTACATATGACTTCAGAAACCAAGGCTATAGTGCTTCATCCTTAAGTATTAAATAATCCTTATTCATCCTTAGTATTAAATAATCCTTATTCATCCTTAGTATTAAATATTAAATCTATTAACTTGGACTAGGAAGAAGTAAGTGTACCACTATGGTCAGTAGGGTTTTTTCACTCTGCTGCTAATTATAAGTTTTTAAGGAGGAAAAAGTTGACATATATTTTTAAAGACCTGGAAAACAGATGTGGAACAATGTGTATCCTAATATGTGTGTGTGCTAAATGTGTAAAAGAATACAGCTTAATTTGGGGAGTACTGCAAGGATTGTTGACAAAATATATTCTTCTCTTTTCTTTTTTTGATTTATAATAGTGTGCTTCCTTTTATTTCAAAAGCAATATATAAAAACATTTCTATTTTCTCTGATACAGAGAGGTAGATTTTTGTATTAAATATACTCTATGTGCATTTAAAAAAAAAGAAAAAAATCTTCATTATTTTACTGGTATTTATGCAAAATATCATCCTTGAGCACTGTAGTAAATAAAAGAGAATGATAGGAACTGTTTTGATGAAATGATGGATTTATGCAGGGAGTTCCTGATACATAACACTTATGTGGACTATTTTATTTTTAAAATAAGAAAGGCTATCTGTGCTAGTATGCTTGCTCTCTCTGTACTACTATTTAAAGTAATTTGGAGTTTGCCTCTGAATTACTCAAATTCCATTTTAGCATTAAGTGCTTCAGGTGATAAGGCTTTCAGTATGCAACTGAGATGAAGTTTAACACTCCTTCAAAAGTTTACTGCCTACTTTTATTAAAAGGAATTTGTTTGTGACTTCATCATTGTATTTAAGCCTTTTTATACTTTACAGTATCACTGTAATGAGTTGTATCCAACCTGAATCAGTAAAAGGGTTAATTGTATGTAGCAAGGAGACATTCTTTGAGGGGAACTGAATATGAAATATTCAGTTGATAGGAGAATGTTAGTTGATAGGAGATGATAGGAGAAATTTATTTTAATGACTCAATCTAAAAAAATGAGCATTGTTATTTGTAAGATAACATTACATACATTGTGGTTGCATTCTTAGTGAGTAACATTATTCAGAGCAGCATGTTGAACTCATGCTTAGCAGGCTGCACCAGAGCAAATACGGAGTAGTCCTTTTGAACTCAGCAAGATTAGATGGTGAGAGTTTGTTCATGTTGTTCATTGGGAAGAAAAAATAGATAAAGGACATGCCTTTTCAGCTGTATCCAAATAATCACTGGTGTACAGAGTACAAAATTTAAAAAGGAAGAGAATTTATTTAATTTCGTGTTCTTGTGCATTTCTAAGTTATGTGCATTCTATGAAGAACTTTTTCAACAAGTTCTACATTTGTGGCAAATTTTGTAACTCATTCACTCTTCTATAAAGATGATGATCATAGAATCATAAAATCATAGAATCACAGATGGTATGGCACGGTACTATTGATAATAATATTGTTAGTGTAGAAGAGAAAGACAACCTCAACCACTTAAACGATGACTTCTTTTTTTGGTTTCTTGACACATACTGAAAGATATGTAATTGCAAAAAGAGCCAGCAGAGAAGAAAATTTAAATGATTGAAAACATCACTGATTTACTGAGACAGGTCACACTTCAGCATGCATGAAATTCTTTTTTTTCTTTGATGTCCATGGAAGAATAAACTTTGATTTGGTTTCTTACCAAGGCAGAAAAGATGAAAGAAACACATTTTCTGTTCAAATTTTTTTTATGTGTTGTAACAGCTACTTTGATTACTTAAAGTAGCTTTTAGGAGGTGAGTTCTCCCCAAAGTTTAGCCATCTGAACTTGTGAGCTGAATGAGAAAAAGGCACCTGCAGCAAATCATTTTGCAATTGTAGCTACAACTTGCAGGATAGGATTTAAACTCTACGAGTTCCCACTCGCTGTACTCTTTAAGTAATATAAGTAGATGACATAATAAGTGACCCTTGTGTTCATAGGTTCTTACAGTTGAATCTTTCAGTAAATAATTGGTTAATGAGTTTCTCTTTTGTGTATCTCTGAACAATAAAGTACCTTAAAATTCAATGAAATAATTCAATTTATTAAGGACTTCTGTTATGTTTGTTGATTTATGTGTCTGTCTGAAAAACAATTTTACTGTCGTTCTTTTAGGAGAATGTGAAGCAAGGTCCTAGAAATCCAGTTAGATTTTTGATAACTTTTAATACAGTACTGTATAAAAATCACAGAAAGTGACACAAAATAAAACTAATGGATGTTTAGAGTAGTTGGTCTTTGCTCAGGTATTAAGTAACTTCAAAGTATTTGAACTGCTGCTTTCCAAGGCTGGCAATTTGTCAATGTAGCTCATCCAGATATGAGTATTTTACTGTATTGATAGTTTGACTTTTTTCTAGCTTTGAAAATGTAGTATTACTTTTGAAACCATCTACTGGACAGAATCCTTTAGCAGGGACACAGCTTAGTTTTGTGAAGATGTGTTTACTAAATATTTGTAGTAGACCAGTAATCATCAAACAAGGCTATTAAGATAAAATGGAAAGGTTACAGAATCCAGGATGCCTGTTTTCTTCTGATTTGTATATGATTTGAAATAACAGACCTCTGTTATAGTTAAGCAGGGGTTGATTTGCAAATCTCAAAGGCTAAATTCCCATTCCTAGGATTAGATTATTCTGAAAGTTGGATTTTAGGGAAAACTTAAGGTTTTCTTCTGAAAATTTACAATTCACGTTTAAAATTCATCATAGACGTAAAGACACTTGAACAGATTATTTGGAGGACCACCACAGTTGTACATGGAAGCATTTTGCTGTGATGTTTTCTCTGTTTGATTATGTAATAATAACTATATAACAGTTGTCCAAAGACTGATGGAATGGTAAAGAATAGAAAAAAAAAAAATCATACGAAACAATTGGGATAAGATCCTAAACTGGAATGTAAAAGTTGCTGAGGTGGATATTTTCCTTTATTAAACAATTTCTGATAGCTGTGATTAAAAAATAGATACACGTTACATTTTTTTTTAAGGTAAGCACACATAAAATTAGATTTCTGATGAGACTTTGGTTGAGTTTTGTATACGGTTTTTAATTATGTTACACTTTCAGGAATGGGATTGTATTTATCTTCTTAATTTTATGTACGCATTTTTGGTCCTAATCCCATGAAAGGATGCAGGTAGGTACATCATTGTATTTAGTCACAATTCTACCAACTGGATTTGAAGTTCCGCTCACATGACTTTTATGTAATTTTAGGAGTTTGCAATGATTTGTCTGGTCAATTAACTTCGTGTGATGGGTCACTTATTTTCCAGTTGCAGTCATTTAGTTCATGTTATGGCACTAAAGCTGCCACTACATACTGTTTTTCCCTTTTCTTTTCAGTGGTATATGATAAGCATCGTGCACATCTATAATCGCTGGAGAAACAGTGAAATAAGGTGTTATGTGAATGGTCAGCTGGTATCCTATGGTGACATGGCGTGGCACGTTAATACGAATGATGTAAGATTTTGTTTTCTCTTTTCTTACAGCATTCAGTAGATCAAACTGTTCAAAGTAAATGCAAAAAGAAAAAGTACTGTATTTTCTCTAGATCTTTGAAATTTTTCTATTTTTTAAAGTTTATGCTTTAACCTATCTTCCTTAGTTATGTATTTCATAAATTTAATACTGTTGCTTTTCTTTAGAATATCATGGATATCATGGATTTTTTTTTTTAGCTGTATTCTTCCTGACTTCCTGACTGTTTTAAGGAAATCTGTGGAGATTTTGTTGGAGCGACTGGTATAGAGAATATTTTTAATATATGATATTGTATAGACGATACTGATAACAACAGATTAATATTTCAATCTTTTTTTCATGAGAAGTTTTTCTGGAGCTACATATTTAAGAGAGATAGATTAAAGAAAACACTTAAGAAAAACAGGTTCATTCAGCCAAATGGTTATGCATGCTGCCAAGCACTGATTTTTGTATCATATTAAATTCTCTGGTTTTCCAAGAGGTGATATTTGGTAATGGCTAAAAGATTTCTATGTTACATTTGTTGTTTGTTCTTAAGTATTTTTTCGTATATTGCAGTAGGACTGAATAGCCTGGACTGTGGTCAGAGTCCTATTGTTTCAAGCACTGTATAAACATTGTAAGAGATCATTTCTTTTATGGAGAGTTTACAAGATACATAAAGATTAAAAAAAAAAAATGTAAAAGCCAGAAAACAGTGGCATGAAGAAGTGTCAGGAGACTTACTGTACTAAGCAAAGACTGATATCTTACATCTTTATCCCTTCAACAAGCATATTTTGCCTCTTCTATTGTTTGACTTGGAATAGTTCACAGGCAGTTGATTGAGATTAAAAATGCTGTGCTAAATTTAAAGGAATTAGTATTTAATTAATGTTGTTAGCAAGAACAAATTAAGTGCTACAACATTGCCATTTTGTATTTCATACTTTATTCGTTTGTATGGACAATAAGGGAGATTAGCAATTAAAAGATATGTAGAGACATACAGTTGCATAGCATTAGTCACCTCTGTGCAAAGACAGTCATCTTCTATCTGTCCTTCTACTTCAGGCAGAAACCATTCATTTGTACCTGGAGAAGACTGCTTGTACACCTATGTATACACCTAAATGTTAACTGGACTAATTTCAAGTTATCCTAACAGTACATTATAACAGGAAATGCATTAGATTTCATATTTTAAAAAATATAAATTATTTTAATGAAATCTGTTTATGTTTCAAAAAACCTTTTAGTCCGTTTTTTTATCTTCTACCATGAAAGAGATGAGGATACACACCTAATGATGCGGGAGAAAGGTACTTTTTCTGGCCCAAAGATTTGAATGAGAGAGGCAGACAAAACGATTATCTCTCGTGCTTTGCTTTCAAGTTAAACTCGTGGTAGATTTTCAAAGACGTATGATTCATCAGCTCACTACGCATTGCTATTTCTTGTTTATCATATGAATCTTGGCTGTTCTGAGTGCGTTTATAGGAAGCACATTAGTATGTAGGGAAATTAACTGTTTGCCTTTGCTAAATTGTAGAAGTAAAGTTGGGTTTGGTAGGAAGGGTTTAAATATTGTATGTTAATTAAAGCAGATGGGCTCTGCTTGTCACGGCTTCTGATCATCATTCTTTATGTTCTTGGTAGAATTTCTACTTGCAAGAAAAGGCATTGAGGTTTTTTTCAGAGCATGGGTTCTCCTTGGTAATGTAAACATGTATGTTGAGTGAGAATGTGGTGATTCAAAAGTCAGCTGAGGTGTTGGGGGATCTGTACTGAGTTATTAGCTTGAAAATCATATGTAAATTAAATGTAAAATGCTGTCTGTTGTACAGTTGAAGATAACAAGAAAAAGAACAAGAAAATAGTCTAGACATAGGCACAAATATATATATATATATTAAATTATAAATTACAAATGTGGTGTCATCAAACTGAGGCAAATTCCTCAAAAAAAGTAAAAAATGGCTATCTGCTCAGGATGAGTTGAAACTTTCCAACAACAAATGCACAAGTATCAGTAATGTCTTTAAGTCTAAGCAGGACATTCATGAACTAAATGAAAATTTTTAAGACTTTCAGCATTTACCAGTCATCAGAGTGGTCTCAGCCTATCATCAACACTGTGCATCTTAGATGTGAACTTTTGTTGCAAGTTGGGTTTGTTTTTTTTGTTTTTTTGTTTTTTTTTTTTTTGTAAAAAAAAATTTTGTCAAAATTATTGAAAGAAATTACAAGTTCCAAAGGAAAAAAAAATAGATACTGGTCAGAAGGGAGGATAAATCAAAGATGAAATCCTGGATACCTCTTACTTCACCTCATTGCAAAGCTGAAGTCAGAAGAATTTAAAGTCAAACCAAATCATTATAGGATAAGGTCATAGAACAAGACTGTGCACCAGGGCAAACTAGAAGAATCGTATTTCTTCCTTTCTGCTACAGACTTTTAGCTATTATAGCACAATAATAAAAGAATACTATATTCTGCTATTCTAATTTTCTCTGTTGTATGTCAAATAGTTAATAAATATAAAGAAAACCTAGCAGGTAGATATAGAAGCAATGTATTAATGACCCATAAAACAATTAAGGGCTAAGTAATCAAAATGAAATTGTTCACTACGGTTATTTAGGTACTGAAATACTAAGTGACTAATTTATTTTCCTCATTACAGTCTTCTTTTATTTTTGTCTGTACATGAATATTATTTCATTGCACAGTTTGCATAATTAAAGCTCATTAACATTGCCTCTTCTAATGCAGAGTTATGACAAATGTTTTCTTGGCTCTTCGGAGACTGCTGATGCTAACAGAGTGTTCTGTGGCCAACTTGGAGCTGTATATGTATTCACAGAAGCCCTCAACCCAGCACAGATTTTTGCAATACATCAGTTAGGACCTGGTTACAAGGTAACAATGGATCTTAAAAATAGTTTTGCAAAACTGGAAACAAAAAATAATTGATAGAAATAACTGATAAATATAGGTGGAAGCTATGTGTGAATGTAGATATTTCTCTTTGGATTGTGTAGAGCTGTGTGATTTTTCTTCAAAATATAAATATTTCATCAAATTTTCTAACTACTCTTAATTTCTGATTTTTGAATGATGCAAGTAATTTCTTTAAGGAATGATGAAACATGATTGTATGTCAATTTTATTCATTTGGGTCATAATCAAATTGGCCTAATTTTATGTGTTGTGTATTGAATTCCCGGGGAACCACTTTCTTCTTCTCTCCTATTTTGTGTTTAAAACCTGAATTAAAGCAGATTAGCATTCAACAAACCATAACAATCCAATTCTGTTCAAATGCACAATTCTGCTGGAGTAAGCTTTTCACTCATGTTTTGCTAGGGAAATTTAGGAGACAGTTTGGACAGATTCATGGTGTGTGCATCAACTTCAATCTCTAGTATGAAAAAAGTCTTATTTATTACTTGAAATGACTATGTATGGTGTTATTTCATCAAGGAAAATAAAGCAGATGTTCTTCAGAAGCATGTGGGAATTGTTCGCCCATTGAAGAGGTCTTGAAAGTGAATGATCAGGTCTAACTCCATCTAAAGACTATTGGATTTGTGCCACCAATTATTCACTAATTTTATTTTTGTTGATTTGTGTTATTTGTGGTACTATTTGAACTATATTCAAAGCATATAGCATCAACAGTAAGCAATACAAAATTGTGTTAATCAATACAAAAATCAAAATTTAGATAACATCAATATTAATTTATGATCCAGCAAATGTTTGCTATAAATTTTTTGACAACAGCTAGCAAATGGCTGTGAAAATTGAAAACATCTTTTTTGGTACATACGTTGTGTGGAAAGCCAAACATATGTTAAGGCTGCTTGAAGATGAGGCAGTCCTTTGTGTGTAGTTTGTGTTTTTAACTGCTGTGAAACCAAACTATTCAGTTGAGAGATGTTTGTCACCTGTGCAAACAAGCAATACTTTATTCCAGTGTTAATACTCTATTTTGTTTGAAGAAAGATTTCTCCTTTTTTTTTCATACAACAACAACAACAAAAAAAATAACATAACCTTATACTTCTTAATAATAAACGTAATAAATCTTTGTGAATAAATTAAAATCCTGGCTTTGCAAGAGCATACTGAAGTGATGATACAGCAGTAATGGTTTCATTTGGTACAAGAAGTGAAAAATATTATGTGACATTCATGAGGGATTCCAGAAGGCATGCATGTTTTCATACTAGACATCATTTTCAGTACTTATTGCACTATCCTCACTACACTATTGACAAATTACCTTCCTTCATTCATAGACTTCCCTTAAACTAAATTTCTTCACTGCAGCTTCTTACTGATTTTTTTTTTAATGTCAATTAAATGTAATTAAGTGTAATTCAGTTCTTCAGGGATGTTTTTCCTTTGTATGTTATTCAGTTTAGACTGTGTTCTCAGCAGAATTAATGCCTATTTCCTGTGTACCGTGCCTTTCTTCCTTGTCTAGACAACTAGGAGCTTTACTAATCAACCTTTACTAAGCTTTTACTAATCATGGTTAAACATTCATTAAGGCTTTGGTTTCCATTTGCAGAAGCCTCTTAGAGGTTAGTAAAAAATGTGTAGCTATTGTTTTAAAGTTTAGCTATAAAGTTACTCAGTGTGTACAATGAGTTTTTATACATTTTATCTATGAATTTCACTTGCAGTCAGATACTGTCAGAAAGTGTTTTCCGTTGCTCCTTTACAGCTACATCTGTAATGATCACTTCTCTCTTCTGGCTCACCTACAGAGCCTTGTACATATTTCAGCTTCAGCTTCAGTTACACTGAGTCTTGGACACTGCCGATGAGTTAAACTGTGATCTTCTGCTGTTGCTTCCTCATAATTTATTATGATTTTATTTGAGATTTTTTTCTGGAATATATGAAAAGAATATAGTAAGATGAAAAATTTATGCTGGAAAAATGAAATTCTTAAATGATTATAGAGATAATTTTACATCTAAAAAAAAGTTCACAATTGGTTTCCAGTAGATTGAAGCAATTTATTTTCTAATGTTAAGATACACAAGAATGATAATTGAGAATGTTTACTTTTGTAGTTAAATTCAAGTGCTATGATTCTAAAATAAACATGTGCCTTATGCTATACTTCTGTTTACATAGACAGTTTCAGCTGCCTAACTGATTGCTCAAAAGTGTAATTTCAATCTTGACAATTTTCATTAGTGATTGTAGATTTAAAAATTCCAGAAATGTGTATGCGGTCTGAATGAATTAATAGATTCTTATACAGTTCATGGTCTAGCAATAAATTCTAATACCACTTGTAGTCTGACACCACAAGTCTGAACACCGAAGACTTACCGTAGTAACTGTGTGTAGAAATGATAAATAATCAAATTTATAACAAGGAGAGAGAGGAAAACACACCAACAATACTGCTATGTTATTTGCCTCTTTCCTATTAAAGCTTCTCACATTCATCCACCAGTGGCATTCCACTGTATCATTCCCAGGTTTCATCTATATAAAAGCATGCTTAGTGTGTGCTGTGCAGTTACTAAACAGGACTTTCACCCTCCAAATTGTTGTTTTCACATGCTGGAGGTTGCCAAAAGGATCTGAATGCATCATCTCCCTGCTCACACTGTGCTATTTCTGTTACCCAGCATTGTTCCCAGGCAGCAAAGAAGAGTGTGATGCATATCTCAGTGGAATTCTGAAGGGCTTGTCATCGCAGAATAGAGGGGCAAGGAAAATAATGTGTTAGTAAGAGCTGCATCTGATAGCAGAATTTGGTGCTCTTTGTAAAGGGAATTTCCAACAATTTTCCTAATAGCCCTGTGAAGTTTGTAACACTCCTATTAGCCCTCCCACATACATTTCAACATGAGGTATCAGATTACTTTGTGTCTTGTTGCATTTGAGTTTGCTTTTCATCAGTGCTGCAGTATCAATCATTTTCTTGTCTGTGAAGGCTGGAGTAAAAAATGCATTAATGCGTGCACGTATAAACACACACCAACTAGTCTTTAAAATTCAAATTTACTTCACCTAGTTATGTAGTACAAGGTCATATTTTATTTTTGATTATATATATATATTTTTATATATGCACACATATGAGCTTGATAAAGGAGGTACAAAGGAATATGTATACATGTATTTGCTATTCAGCATGTTAAAACAAAGGGTCTTTTTTTTTATTTATGCCACTATGTTGATTGTACTAGATCTCAAAGTTTCATTTCTTCAGTGACAGGTAATTAACTACTTGTAATTAAGCCTTATACATTTGCCAGCCTCTACTATCCTCCTGTGGATGCACTTCTGCTAGTCCCCAGCACTGTATGCATATACTGAATTTATGTTTTTTTTATGTTTCTATGTAAGTTAAACCTAGTGATAAGGGAGCATTTTGTCTGAATTAATAACTCCTCTTTCCATCATATTATAATATTCTTGTGAGTAGAACATAATAGTTTCTAACTTACGATCACTTAGTTCAACTTTTATGGCAGGAAGTCCCTTAAAGTCTTTTTTTACCCCATTGATTCGTAGCTATTTGGGCATGTCTTTGCAACAATGGTATCTGATAAACTATTGAGATATAGTAAACTCTGAAAATTAGGAAATAGAATAATGCTCAAATTTGTTTTAAAAACTCATTTTAATTTAGAAATTTGCAAAAGTTCACGGTAAAGTAATGATACACATTTTTGATGAAATGCTTTAACATACTTGAAATGACAGGAAATTCTGTGTAAAATATTTGGAAGTTTTAGCTCTGATAGGGCTTAGACATGAAAAGACATGAAAAGACATGAAAAAAAAATTTCTCAGTGAGGATAATTTTCTTGTGATAAAACACCAAAATACAATTCATGTAGAAAGCAGATACTGTCTGAAATCAGTGAAATCACTGAACTGTTTTGTCTCTGCAGTATGTGTGCAAAAATATATATGTGTAGCTAAATATTCTCTTAGGGGAGAAAGACATCATCACCTTCATTGGGACAAGCTGGTAATCTGTAGCAGTGATTTTGTGATGAGTGAAATAGAGATGGCCATTCGAACAGGGAGCCAACTCTCAAGCTGTTAAGCATAAGACTCACTGTGACTGTTCCTGCTTCAGTGAATACAGTGGCAAGATAGAAAACCACAGTTATGAATTAAAACATTTGAAACTGAGTGCTGTATCTGGTAGTATTTACTACAGACTGGTTGAGATCAGATACTTTAGACTGAATGCAGTCATATATGTATAAACATATATAATCAGTCAGCAGTTGGTGAACATTTCTGGTTCAGTTTCTTCCAAAAGGAACTCTCTTTTATTCTGAATAGGCTTGAAATATTCAGAAAGCACTAAGTGGGGTCACTGAGAGTTCCCATACAGAACTGATTCCTGACCCAAATACAAATTGAAGAACACAGAATGGTCAAAGTTGGCAATGACCCATGGAGGTTACCTGGCCCAATCCTGCTCCAGCAGAGACTCTAGCAGAGTGCCACATCCAGGCAGCTCTGGGAGATACCCAAGGAGGAGCCCCAATGGTTCTGGGCAGCTGTTGTCAGTGCTCCATCACCAACACAGTACAGAAGTGCTCCTGGTGTTCAGAGGGAATCTCCCGTGCTCCAGTTTGTGTCTGTGGGCCTGGCACTGGACACCACTGAGCACAGTATGGTTTTGTCTGTTTGCACTCTTTGTTCAGAAATTTATGAACATTGATGAGATCTCCTGAGCCTCTCAATCTCATACAAGAGGTGCTCCACTTTCTTGATCATCTTTGTGGCCTGTTGTTGGATTCTCTCCATATGTCCATCTTTCTTGTGTACTGGGAAGTCCAGAAACGGACACAGTGCTCCAGATGCAGCCTCACCAGTGCTGTATTGGGGCAATGCATCACCTCCCTCCAGTTGCTGCCAGCACTAATCCTAACAGACTCAAAAATAATGTTAACTAACTTTGCCAAATTGTAGAATAAACCACTTACTTCCTATTCCTTTATTCCTGTTTGCTATTCTGATTTCCTTCTCAGTTTTAGTGTCTGTGTCTCATTCATTTTCAGTGCAGCTTTGCTGCCTCCTTTCCATTCAACATCACTGTGCGTGGGGCACAGCTGACTGACATATCTGCTCCAAGGGTTCTCAATCAGATGCAGTCAGATGTCCAGTTGATTCAGCCTACATATTTCTTATGACCCACATACAAATGGCTGCTTGTCACAAGACCTTAAATTGCCATGTGTCAGTCACTTGAGCAGACATTCTTTCCAATCTTTTGGTCATAAGCAAGAGAATTTATTCAGTGTTTGCAGAAGCCTTGAGAACTCTGCAAAAGCTAGATGGGTTTTGTGGTTTTACATAGCTGATCAGAATCTGCAATATTTTTGAAAGGAGCAGCTGATAGTCTATAAATTGCCTATTTTAATTATCCCATCCTATATAACAACATCCCTGCTGATTACATGTTTTACAGTTTCATGATATATTTTCTTACTGTGTTGGGGACAGTAGGAAGAGAGAAATTTGTGGGATGAAATAGATGAAAACAACAGTATTTTTGACATGGACCAATATATAGATGGCCATATGCAGTGCAGATAAACAAAGTGTTTCATAATTAGCATCAGCTGCATATACCTTAAAAAAAAAAAAAAGAAAAAAAATTTCGAAAAAGGAATTGAATTTCTTATTGCAATATGGAAATATTGTATTGCATATTACAATGATGAAAACGGTGATCATTTCTAATGAATTTATTTGCATCGGCGCAGTGTGTTACTACTGGTTATTTTTTGCTGCTGTCAGATGATGTTACATGTAGGTGTGTGCCAAGTAAATCTGTCAACGCTTTTCAGAAAGAAAGAAATCTATCTTCTTGTTCTTGATTGATTTCTCAGAGTTACCATAAAACGTAGTTTTAGATCAGATATGGATCATTATACATTTAAGAATAAGAGAGATTTTCATTCTTCCTTTAAGTTTGAAAACCACTAGTTTGAAACATAGCATTTAGAATTTTGTTTTTTATTTAATTTCAGCATTCTGTTTATATATAATCTACACTGTCATTGAAGCACGGGATTTATGCTGTTTTAAAAATAGCCATTGCCTTAAAATGGAATAGGATTCGGTCTTCCTTTTACTTTTTAAAGCTTCTTATATTTTCTTTTTTTTTTTTTTTTTTCTTCAGAGCACATTCAAATTTAAATCTGAGAGCGACATTCATCTGGCTGAGCACCATAAACAAGTGCTATATGATGGGAAACTTGCAAGTAGCATTGCTTTTACTTATAATGCCAAGGCTACTGATGCTCAGCTATGCCTTGAATCCTCACCGAAAGAAAATCCTTCGATTTTTGTACACTCCCCACATGCTCTTATGCTTCAGGTTTGTGTGTTTTATTTCATTTTTAATCATCAAAATTATTTTAATTGAACCAGTACCGATACATAAACCATAGTTTAACTGACTTCTGACTGTTGATTTTGTTCACATATACAAATTTCAGAGTTAGACATCAAAACTTACCACTTCATCCAGGTTATAACTTGTATCCTTTAAAGCACCTATTTACCTTCTTTTATGTTTCATGTTCTTTGCCTCTTTCTTTCGCTGTGGAGAACAGCTTACTGTTGTGTTACTATGACTCTTGAGCTTAATGTAATGTTTGTATGTTAATTTTCTGGGGAGGAAAAACTGATAAAAATAATTGTATCTTTCAAATTTTCTCTGTTACATACCTTATGTTACTAAATTCATGTTCTGTGATAACTGATAGCTCAACATCATTTGAATGAAGATAGTATTTGTATGCTATTGTACAAGGAGAACATAATTTTATGTTATTTCAGTTCTTAATATACACATCATGTGAGCTGTTCTTTTTTCACTTTTTTTCATCAAGAAATATATACTTCCTGCCATAAGCCAGAGTTTACCTTGATTGTGAAGTTTTTCTTTGTGTTTGGTTTTAGGTATATCTATTGTAATAGAAACATGACTAGTGAAATTAAATTAAAAATATGTCTGATTTAGTTTGCACTTCATTCAGTGGTAAAGTTTTCCCAAGTTAAAACTGAAATTAGTGATTTTTTTCCCATTCCTTTCTTTCTTTTATTAATTTAGGATGTGAAAGCTATCGTAACCCACTCCATTCACAGCGCAATTCATTCCATTGGAGGGATTCAAGTTCTCTTTCCTCTCTTTGCCCAACTAGACAATCGACAGCTGCATGACAGTCAGGTGGAAACAACAGTTTGGTAAGCTTCTTTCAAGCAAGATAAACACAAAATTTAACAAAGTTCCTGTTTTGGGAATGTTTTGTTTATTTTCTTTTTTAAATGCTTTAACTTCTGTTTTACTTTTGTTTCATTAGAAATACATCCTGAATTTGCAGAAGTAATTTACTATAGAATTGTGCAAATCGTAATAACCTAAGGAGATTCTAGATTAAGCTGCTCATAAGTGATTGGGTTGAATAATGAATTCAAATCACATTGGAGGTTTCTTTAAGGATAGTTTTTGATGTTTTTTTCAACTTCTCAAGTAAATGAACGTGCTTTTACTTGTAGATGAAATGTCATTTACTTCTAAAAGTCTGAGCCATTTGAATCTAGACTTAATAACATTCCAACTTAAAGAAAGATATCACTTTCCATATTAGTACATGGGCAGAAAGTCACAAAGCTATGCATAGCTTTGTTTTAACCATATTACAATTGCAGCAGGATAGGGAGGATTTTAAGAGACTTCTAAATAAAGGCACGTTAAACCTCTGCTGTGATGACATGGACCTCTTGGTGCATCCTGTCTGAGGGGGATCTTGTTCTATTGGTAACATAAAATATGAAAAATAAATAAAAACTAAGTGTATATGGCAATGAAACTGAAAAGTTAAAGATTAAGTCCTGTTAACTGTGTTTTTCTGTACAGGGTTTGGGAACGGCATAAACTCTCTCTTGTGTTTCAATAAATATATAAAGTACATAATTCAGAGTACATGGAGTATTTTCCTGTTCAGAATGCCCTGGCATTATTAATTATTCTGGATATTTCTGGTTGCAAGAAATAGCTCAATAATAATTCCACAAACTGAAAAATAATAAATAAAAAATAAAATAGTAAACTTAAAAGGACCTATGTCTTTGAATAATTTATTTGGACATGATGCATTCTTATAATTACTCCAGGAAGATCACTTATCTAACCTAATTAAAGAAATTTATCAAATTTTTTTAAGTTTTGTCAAATCATCTGTTTTCGTCCTTGGTAACCAAGTTGTAGCTAAGATTGCTGATAGGTTAGGTTTTATTTCATGAGAAATTTTAGTACAATGCTGGAGCAAATGCAACAATCTTAAAAATAACTATTTCTACTTCCCAGCAGGAAAGTGATGAAAATAATTTCTTTCAATTTCAAAAGCAGAGAAAAGCTGGTGGTTACTAATTTGTTTTCTAATATTACTTTGCATTGGAGTGTTGTGAAGTAATAAGAGGCATGGGGATGGGGATTGGTTTGAATAAATGTTAGAAAAAAATCTTTATGTGTTTTTATTGTGGCACAGAAATACATGTTTTTATACATGGCGCAGAAATAGGCAAAACACTTTTTTCAGTTTGAGGAAGATTATATGTGTCTGTACACATCTGTGTATATATGAATAAAATGTATGTTAAATTATTAATATCCTGAGTATATAATAGATGATAAAGCAGTAACTCAATCTGTTTAAAATGGAGAGCTAACATAATGTAAGTCTTAGAAATTGAGCAAAAGGCCAGTTTGTCCTAAGTGGTCTTTCTGTTGAGTGAGAACAGTAATAAACCCCAATATAAAATGTACAGAACCATTTCTGGAGTTAGTTGAACTGTGAATAGGAAAAAAGTTCTGACTGAATATATCAATGCATTTCTTCTATGCTTAGGTTATTATTTTTGTAAAGAGCTCTGTAATCCATTGTGCTGCAAATTATACACAGTACAAGATGTGATCCCAACTGAAGCACATATTGAAAAGACTTCTGAGTGAATTCTTGCTTGATGAGATGTGACAGAAATGTTGAATTACTGTTTCTCTAATATATGTGCATTATTTTTTCCTATTTGATTTAATGGGATGTAGACATGGAGAAAAAAAAAGTTCAGGTGAAGAAGGAAGTAGGCAAATGGAAGAATAAAAGATCTCTGTGTGGAAAGGACAGAGACCTTAGGGGAAGGAAAAGGGAGATTCAGTTGTGGAATGGATATTTATTGTGCTTACTTACTATATCCTTTCCCTTTCCCTTCTTCAGGTGTTATTTCCCTTCCAAAATTCATTTGTATGACTGGCTCTGATATCTACCTATGCTTTTCTTACCTGTGAAAAGTAAAAATATCTACAACAGGGCTGCACTTCTTTCTGAGAAATTGCTGGCATTCAGCAATTACAAAATATCTATTTTTATAGTGGTACCATCTTAAAGTGGGTAACCTTCATGCTTCTTTGCCAAAAAAAAAAAAAGTCCAAGGGATGTTTGATGACAGTAGACCATTATATTTCTAAAGGCTTACTCTGGCTGTAGCCAAGTGGGGGGAATCACATATTGTCCCCTGGATATTTTTGCTGTCCTTGGTCTTGCCTTATTGTGTTCCTCGGAGATGGGAAACGTTAACAGCTTGATACCCATTCTGAGTATCCAAGCTTTCCAGATTACTTTTCTGAATCCTTCCCACCTCCTTCTCTCCTTCGCATTTCAAAGTCTGTTTAGTAAGTTCAGGTTTCTCAGTTGTTTTTTGTATATTTACTTGTAAGGAATTTGATAACAGGTCTGTAAGGGAATACCTTGCTTTTAATCTCCCCGATCCACTTATACTTTTAATTTCTAAATGAATATGTTCTGTGTAAATAAAATTCTGAATTATAAAGCAGGGTGATTTAAGTATAGCAACTCTGTGACTTAATGGCATTCTTTGTGAATGTTCTTTATTCCTGTTTGTATATCCTTATGTTATGTATGTCTTATCTGCATCTTCAGCGAGACCAATGAAGTACCCTACATTTCTACTTTTGAGGCACTGTAAAAGTTCTTATGCTCTCATACACTGAAATTAGAATGATGGAAACTGATCCCACATCTTAAATAGATTTTCTTGTTTTCAGTGACACCTGCTATTCGGAGGAGTAGTCTGTCAATTTGAATGTTAGGCTGCCAGTTTTCATCCTGCTTTTTATCTCTTTTCAGGGTAAAAAAATGTAGCAGTTTAAGTTGAGTTTATGTGATAAAAATAAATATAGAGTGCTTTTTTCTGATACTGTTGTTGATAACTTTGATCATGCTACATTGGTAATACAATAAGGGAGGATTTGCTTTGTTCCCTTATGATGTCTTGCAGGTGGCTTTAAATTCCTTTGGGTCTGGGTGTGCTGAGCACTGACATACAGATTAACTGATATTGAGTGGAATTGTTGGTACTTATTCAATTCTATGGCAGAATAAAGTACAAGCGTTAATTCAGGTGTGATTGTTGCTTTCACCTTTACCATACTGGGGCCATATCGAAAAGGATCTGTAGAAACATCTCTTGAAGGATTTGTAGCTGTTTGCTTAAGCAGATTGAGACAAAAGATTTCTTTTATATACTTATTCTAGAAGTTACTAACTGGATTTGCTAGATCCCATAAGCTGCACCATAGCAATTAAAAACACTTCTACGGTTTATCTTACGAAATAAATCCTGTGCCCAGGTCCTCCTTTACTAACCTCAAAGGTGATATATAACATCTTTGCCCAATTTCCCCAGATCTGTGCTAAAATAATTACAGAATCTTTTCAGAAAACTTTATTGCTAATATTATTTTGACTCTTTAATATGGACGGTCCTGATACAGAATATATTGCCTACCTACTGCAGTGCATCCAGAGGAGGGCCACAAAAATGATCCGAGGGACAGAACACCTCCGTTATGAGGACAGGTTAAAAGAGCTGAGGCTGGTCAGTCTGGAGAAGAGAAGGCTCCAGAGAGACCTCAGAGCAGCCTTTCAGTATCTAAAGGGAGGCTGTACGAAGAAAGGTGACATACTTTTTAGCAAGGTCTGTTGTGACAGGACAAGGGGAAAGTGTTTCAAACTAAAGAGAGGAGATTCAAATGAAATATAAGGAAGACGTTTTTTACAATAACGGTGATGAAGCGCTGGCACTGGTGGCCTGGAGAGGTGATGGATGCCTCATCCTTGGAGACATTCAAGGTTAGCCTAGGCAAGGCTCTAAGCAACCAATCGAGCTGTAGGTATCCCTGTTCATTGCAGGGGTGTTGGGTTTGGTGACCTTTAAATCTCCCTTCCAACCCTTCCAAATCAAACAATTCTATGGTTCTGCTGAGAGCGAGTGAAAGTGTAACTTTGTCAAGGGAGGCAACAATAATATTTCCACTCCTGTTTGTCATCTTTTCCTGTAAATGCTTTGTCTTTTATTCTGATCAGTTAAAATCTTTTACTCATTTTTAAATTTTTCCAGTAGTTTTTATGTTTAGATGATGTCTCTTTAGACTCCTGACTGAAGTTAGTGATGTTGCTGTGTATGTTTTTTAGAAGGTTAACTTACATGACTATCCTGTATCTTGGATAGCAAGTTTTGTATGTTCCTGTGGATTTAAGCTAAGGATCAAGTACCTTAGGAATTCTTTTTTGTAAAAGCAAGGCATTAATTGTTGCTCTATGATTTTGCTTTTTCTTTCCTCTTTTCCACTTACTCTGCTTATGCAAACGTTTTCAAGAATTGTCATGTAAGAGCCTGTGGTGGGGTTAATCTTATGATCTGTTGGTCTTATTTTGGAGAAGCTGGGAATGCAGATGAAGTTAGTTTGTAAAGGTTGCTTCCTATATATAATCAGATAGAACAAATACCTGCATTTGTCTCTTTTACATATCCTCTTCAAAGTAAATAATCTATTATTTATTAAGATACTTAGATATTTATAGTTACATGCCTGCTTTTGTTTATCCTCCCTTTTGTAATGCGCGATCTATGTAGATAATTTCATTGTCCACGCTCTAAGGTGTAATTTAACAAATTCATGATAGAATTAGCATAGAAGATTTTCACAGGAAAAAGTAGACTAGAGAAAGTTTTCTATTTAGTTATTTCTTGAACTAAAAAAAAAAAAACGCAATGTATGACTTATACCCCAGTGGAGAACATTCTTCGTTTAGGTAATCTAGTACTCTTTGCCATCTGAGTTTTTACTAATATTTGCACTGAATGATGTTCCTAATAGAATGCTT